ATTTTACCGCAGGGTTTTGGGAGCAATCGGATGTTTTCGGAGATAGTTCCCACGCTTTGAATTTTGATGTTTTTCAATTCTGACGGTCATATCAGTGAATGTATTCGTGTTGTTTTGCGAAAATGTACCCAAAAAACTAACGGTCGTAGAAAAAGTATAGTATGCAACACGTTCGGTAAGCTTTTTAACTCACTCGTTTATTAAAAACTCGTGAGTCAAATGCCGTTTACCGCACTTGTTGCATAATATACTATTACAAACTGTTTGCGGTCATCTCCTATTTATTATTTTTTTTTTATTATCTTTACAATAGAACGACACTATATGATTAACACTAATTAACAACTATGAATTAGATATGCTTCTTTGAGGAAGAACCTGATATTTTTCCGTCAACATCAAACTTAAAGTAATGAGATTGTGCTATAATTCAAAAACCATTAGGTTTGGAATATTATAGTATATTATGCAATAAGTGTGGTAAACGAGTTTATTTGACACGAGCGAAGCGAGTGTTTAAGAAACGAATGAGTTAAAAATTTACCGTTAGTTTTTGCGTAAATTTTCGCAAAACACGAATACATTTACTGACATGACTGTTAGAATTGACAAACGTCAAAATTCAAAGCGTGGAAAATGTCTCCGAAAACATCCGATTGCTGCCAAACCCGTGCGGTAAAATCCCGGAAATGTCCGAAGTGGCTCGGATCCGTAGGAAGCGAAACTGACATAGTAAAGTGACGCTTTCCTCACGCTAGATCGGTGGGTAATTAGGTATTTTACAGACGAAAGTAGAAAAATAATATTAATAATGATTTGAAGGTACAACTTCTGATTCCGCTCGCATAATACAACGAAAAAAATTATTTACTGAATCAACAACAAACAATGAAAATAAATGGTAAAAAAAATTCTAGTCGGATGACAAACAAAAAAGTTATAAACCATAAAACTTATCCAAAATTAACTACGAAATTGACCCGCCTTTTTTTCGCGAAGTGTATATTTTGCCCAAATCTAATGCGTAATATTTGGATCCTGCTTTCAAAGCATCGAAATTATTTACTTCGATGTTTATTTGATTTACGGCGTTTGTAATTTAAAAGTTATAGCCGCCATAACGCCATAAATTTAAGGCCGAAATTTTTCCACGGAAATACAATCAATAGATAACGCCACGACACATGAAAATATTATACAAATCAGGAACCTGTCGTAATATGGAATGGAATGTCGAGATTGACCGAATTTTATCCAAACTCGTCATGAATTTCGAGAAGAAATGACTACTGTACCCTGAAGAGTCCATACAATCAGGATTCACACGAGGAGATCCTCCAACTGAAAGGAAACAGTCAATTATTACATCTGTCTACAAGAAAGGGGACTGGAAAGATGGCTGGAAGAATTTCCAGTCACTAAAGGCATCTATGGTTTCAAGTTACTGGCTTGATTTTCGAGAGAAGTCAAATTGAAAACCGCATCTTGTCACCGCGTTTCTGAGCGACAGGGTGATTCTTAAAAATGTGCGTTTCTAAAAACCCCCTATAACTTTTTTATTTGTAAAGATAGAGATTTTTATTAACATTTTTGGAAGATTTTTTAATGGCGAATCCACCTGTTTCACCGATTTTGTCTTAAAGCCTTTTTTTCACGAGATATAACACAAAGTTACATTTTTTTTTTTAAATGGAATACCCCAATTTAAAAAAAAAATAGTTTTCTAATAAAATTTCCTATCAAACGATGGGCCATACACGTATTTTTATTAAGATATCTGCAACTTTTAATAATTACCATCGTAGGCTGTGCTAATCTCTGACCTATGCAGTTTTACGGTATCTATCTAGGTAGCTATGATCAGATAAAAACAATTGCCATGATACACAAGCCCAAGTGTCAAAAGTGACGTCTTCGTCAAGCTATACAAATGTTTGAAAACTTTGAAAAGTACGACATGATAAAATGTTATATTGCAAGTTACGAAAATCGACAGACGGCGTTAAATCTATATTTCCAGAGATATCCGGAAAGAAGGCTACCTAGCTCAATAATATTTTTGAAGTTAAAATGTCATCTACAAGAATACGGATCCTTTACAAAACCGCGGCTTAGGACGTATAGAAGCTTAGCCATTGACAAAGAGTTGGAAGAAGTAACGGTTCTGGGAGAAATAGAAATTAACCCGAATACTTCGACACAAGTTTAGGCCCTATCGAGCCCGACGAGTGCATCAATTTTTTTCGGCAACGGGATTTTGCTCCAACACGTGCTAACCAGGTGGTACCTAAATAAATGCCAATAGGACCCCGATTTTTCCAGGAAAGTTATTTGGACGGACGAAGCAACGATTTCTAGTGATGGAATATTCACCAGGCATAACTGCTATTACTGGAAACAGCAAAATCCCCATATTATGGTGGAACAAGGGAATCGGGGAAGGTTCAGTTTTAAGGTATGGGTATTTTTGCCGAAAAATACAACATTTGTTTCAGAATTAAAGAGACTTGTTAGACCTAGCTTTTAAGTGTTACGTAGTTTAATTAATAAAAAATTTAAAGAAAAAAATTGCTTTTAATAACTTTATATCCGTTCGGTAATTATTGTAAACTAGAATTTAAAGTGCGAGGTTGCTGCGCCCGCTCGTGTCGTAGCCTACTTGATTTTGTATAAAAAAAAATAATAAAACTTTATCTACACATTTAATAAAAATAGGTGTATGGCACATCGTTCGACAGGAAATTTTATTAGAAAACTATTTTTTTTAGAACAATTTTGTAGAAATATCTGGGGAACTAAAGGCTTTAAGACAAAACGGGTTAAATAGAGAGATTCTCGCTTAAAAAAACTTTAAAAAATGCTTTTTCCCAAAACTCTATGCTTACAATTACAAAAGTTATAGAGGGCCTTTAAAATCGCACATTTTTGAGAATCACCCTGTAGCTCAAAAACGCCTTGACATATCACGATACGGTTTTCAGTTTTTGACTTCTCTCGAAAATCGAGCCATAACATGCCAATCAGTTTTGGGCTAACTATACAACTATACTGCAAATGCTTAAAGCCTTAGAAGCCCCTATACGGTGTACTCTGTACTAGGGGCTTGCTGTTTGCGGGTCATGGCGCTATTTTTTTGTGAAACGAAAGATGAGTCAATAGAATTTTGTTATCCCATTGCATTTCTGAACTACAGGGTAATGTTAAAAATTTCTCGATTTGCGGGACTCGTACCTCGTTAATATTTAAGCTGTGGAAAAAATAAAAATACGTCAATAGAGATTTTGACGTAGAAGCCAATGGGGTAGCTCGTTTTTTTCGGATTTTTTTTTTGGATTATGTATTATACTGAATATTACTTCGGCAATTTTATTAAGACATTTAATTTGTTAATCAAATTATTCTAAATATTATGTCAACGAAGACTGGAAATGTTGCTGTGTTGTTTTGTGTTGTATCGTGAAAATACGGATAAACTGTATTTGCACGGGTAAAATGCAAAATAAATGTAGTCTTTATGAAACAAATACTACTTGTTTTTAATACATAGCTATTGTTTTTTTTTTTGATATTTTGTTTATTTGTCGAAAGTCAACAACTAGCCTTTTATGACTATCGCTTTTATTGATTAAAAAGGAGGGCTCGAATACGGTGAAGTGCTTTTACGTATTATTTTTCCTTCCAGTAATTCCTTTACAGGGTCTCTAAAAATTTGTTTATCTGTCTCAGCTACTCTGTATCGGCGATGCTTAACTATTTTCGAGCTAGTCACTTCAATTTTCATCTTAACAGCTGTTACCTTACGAGTTTTATGATGCTAAGCTCTCAATTTACCAACTTCCTTTCTTGTATTGTCACAGGAAGACGAAGAACAGGAACTACTTCTTGAAGTCCCACTAGATTCACTAGTTACACTTCGGGATCGGTATCTTTTACTACTGTTTTTTTTAGGCATATTTAATTGCACGCAGGCTATCACAAAAACACCAACAATTCGACAAGTTCGCTCGAGAGTCCGCCACTTCTGATGTAGTCTTTATGAAATAAATACTACTTGTTTTTAATACATTTAATAGTTCGATTGAAACATTATATGCACGGCGAATGACCCAAGCCTAACTTTATCCTTTCGTGGGCCTGTGAAAGTAATATAAAATTAATAGTGTTTACAATATGGGAACACGGGGTTGAGTCGCCGATAAAGGACGCCGACGGTATCGCTCTGTGTGAATGACGCGACGACACGTCGCTAAGATGATAAAAGGATGCCGACGGCATAAAGTATGTTTTACTTCTATGTAATTTTTACAAATTTATTATCTAGGTATCTAGAACGAAGACAACCCAATAAAAAAAAATTGGTAATCAACTAATCAGTTTTGGATCTTTTAAACCTTATCGGTAAATTAGTAAAATTAATCTTTTGACGACAGTTACAATAAGTCCTACAAATTCTTGTCCGCCCCTTTATAATACTTAATGCGGTAGAAAATTATACCAACACTGCATTTAATATCAGGGAGGCCAATTTGAGCAGTTTCTTTAGCTGTAAATTTAGATTGACGTTTCGACTATTCTTTTATAAGAAATACATTTTTTAAACTAATGCAAATTTAAACTAATTTTTAATTTTAAACTAATTTGGTGATCACAGTGATCTAGATATTGGAGGTGGAGAAACCATAAAACATTTCAACCATTTTAAATATTTAGGAGTGACGCTCTCCATAAACGGAAACAAGGAATGCAGATATCTAGAGCAATTCTTGATACCAACGAACCTAAATTTCTCATTGAGTATGGGCATATCTAGAAAGCGGAACCGAATAGATGGAAAATAAAATCTAGGATTTTGCTCCTCTAGAAAGAAAGTCCATCAAGAAGCTGGAAAGGTGACTTACAGGAAGCTATGGTAGCTAGACACTTAAACATTTCGTTATTTTCTTTTAGTAACTACATAGTTTTGTTTTTGGTGCATTGTTAAAATTTCTGTTTTTTTTCAGAGGCAGAGAATCAAAACCAACGCCACGTTCAATGCGTTTTTACTGGCCACTGCGCCAAAGCTGGCCAACCAACTGAACACTCTTTCCATGGTCAGACATTTAATTTTGGAGGACGATTTTAAAGAATACTGGGGATTTTATCTGCTCAAAGGTTCCTCGGTCACTGTGAATACGTGCGTGAGGTATTTTTAGATACCGCTTATTTTTCGCCGATAAACGGGACCCATTAGAAATTGTTTTTTTTTAATTAAACCAAAAATAATCGCTATCAGGCGTCAACGAACAGATTGCGATTCGTACGGTAATGAAGTCGAAAATTTTAACCTATATATTTTTTTATAAATTATTGGAATATTTTATTTATTCAATTTATTTTAACTACGATGGCCTTGGAACTATGGCACAAAAATATAATATACAAGGTGGTCAGATAAGAATACAAAGTGCAATCGAAAACTATTCGTGGCAGAGATTTGCGGTAAATTTTTTTATCATGAAATGGCCAAAACAAGATTGCGTGGAATATATTTTTAGATTTTTATTAATTGGTCCATCATGTTTCGGTATTTTAGTGATGTGATGCTTCTTATAATCTTATATAACGATGGCAATACAATATTCCTAAATTTTTTGGGTAGGATTCTCATCCATGGTTGTTTTGTATAAAATTGTATATGGCCCATTTCTTAAAAATTGCATCCAGCATATTTGAAGTGAGTTTCTTTTTCCTCCGTTGGTATTTTTGGATCTTTTGTAAACTGCTTCTTCCAAGAGTCTTGTTGATATAAAACCCTCTTGTTTCATTTCATTTAGTATGAAAGTATTACCTTTTCTACATTTTTTAATTATATTATAATAATCTTGTGGCACATACAATAAATGAATGCCCTGATATTAAAAATTTGTGGTCTATGATTTCCACCTCATTTCCACCACTTTAGAGATATTTTGATGTTTCTGTTTTGATTTTAGGTGTTTTAAGAGGCACGAAGCCACTTCTTAGAAACCTCTAGAAGCTTTCGTTCATCCCAAACGTACATGTATACATTATCGTTGTGGAAATTGTGTATGCCTAAATTAAAAAAAAAACACGTTACATTTATAATAAGCTATTGAAGTAGTTAACTTTGGGAATGGTAACGCTTTCCGCAAATCGAATGAAAAGCCAAAATAATGAGATCGGTTACTTGATACTCTCTCTTGATCTCATTTTAACACATTCCTAGCCTATTCTGCTAGCTTCAAATGAATATCATGTTCTTCGATAAGTTTTTTCTGTTCTTCTTAAACTAACCAAAACATCGACGATCTGTTAGCGGCCATGTTGTTTACTGAAAACCGCAAGGTTTTATGGGTCTTACTTCAGAATTTGTCATTAGAGCTGTCATTGGTTAAAAACCAAATTTTAAACATCGCGCATGCGCACGCTGAATGAACCTACTCAAAAAAACATTTACATAGTTGCTTCACGAGTAACTAAAACTAACCAAAACTAAATGAGAAACGTCAAATAAAGCCCTATTAGGAAAGGCATCAAGAAGTGACAGGCAGTCTACCACATTTTATATCGTCATGCTTTGCATCACATAGCATAAAATAAAAAATATTTGATTTATGTCATTGCATAAGTTTTACTTTAAGTTTACTTAAGAAGAATGATAGGGGTACTCTAATTCGATCCCCTCCACTGATTTAAACAAAAAAATGTTTTTTTAATATTAACACTTGTATCTACGCTCGTATAAAAATGTTATAACTCGGTAACGGTAGGTCCCATGTCTGTCCGTTCTCCGTTCTCGTTTGCTCGTTCTTCCTGAATAACTTTCGAACCGTTGAAGCTACAAAATTAAAATTTGCCTCATTTTTAACCCTCCACGAGGCACATAAGCTTATAAGAAATGGCCCTGATCCGACGCCGGTATCCATCTTTTTTTTCGCGATTTTCGACTGTTTTTGGACCTTGCTATGGAACTCGATAAGTGTCCGAAATTTGAAGCAATCGACTTCATATTTGGCATACATATGTAGCTTTGACCCGGGACGGAACCTATTGAAAATGGGAGGGCTGGGGGATCGGGAAGTATTTTAAAAAAAATAAAAATCGCGTGTGCAAGGGTCTACAAATAAAAATATTTTTCAAAAACCGTTTACAAGACCGAAAAAATGGTTCAACCAGAAGAAGTAGAAGATATGGCTCTATAAACTTTTATTCGTGACAATTTTTCTAAAATATACAGGGTGCGCCACAATTTCAAAAAATTGGAAAATGGGTCTCCCTATTATTGAACATTGGTTATAACTGAAAGACTATGATTTAGATCTCACTTTCTTTTATATTGCGATTTACCCCGCATAGATAGCAAAAACTTTTGTATGTAAGGTTTTCACCTATTGTACAGGATGTTCCCGATATTTGGTGCTTAACGAGAAATGTGTTAAGTGTCCTAAATTTGCAGATATCAACTTCAAATTCAGCAGAGAAGTAAAAGTCCGTGTCCACATTGAAACTGTAGAAATTGGGCGCAATCAAATATTACCAAGTATTTTTTAAAATATATTTGAATTTTTTTATTTTGGTAATTTTAGCTTCCAGAAAAATATGTTTTCCTACATAACCGTTCACCCCATCGTTAAAATTCTTTAACCGGCAGACGCAGAAGATCCAGTGCAATAATATTTATTTCAGGCATTTTTTCGATTATATACAGGGTTTTCAAATTATAGGCAAAAATCTACAAGACCTAGAAAATTGTTCGTTTACAGAGTAAATTATTAGCCGCAAATCAAAAATCGTAAAAAATATGGCTAATTGGTTCAAACGGTGTCATAGGCCGCATCAATTTTTGTATTTGTGTTGTCAACACGCGATGACATCATTGATTATTACGGCGCACTGCATGGTTTCAAAAAAAACTTATTTTCTCGAAAACCATTTACTATTTTCAAAAAATTCTTGAACGAGGAAAGTGGAAAATCCAGGGCTATAACCTCTACTTCGAACGATGATTGAATCATATACACAACAAATCTAAAATATCCTAAAAATTTCCGTTTTTGGGGGTAAATTATTGGCGATAAATGAAAAACCGTTAAAGATGGGATAATTTTATTTGAACAGTATCGTAAACCGTGTCATGAAAGAGTTTGAGGTTTTGTCAATTATACAGGGCGCGAAATATTTGAAAAAATATCATTCGACAACGCTATTATTTGTGCAAATTTTAATATTTACCGATGTTTGCTGTAACTTTGAATTTCGACGAGATGTGAAGGACATTTTATACAGGGTAGATCACAATTAAATTACATCGATTTTGCGAAAGTTGCATAGTGGTCCGCAGGAGCACGATAGAAAAACAAGGCGTCCCTTTATCAGACGAAACCGCGAAGTTCTTTCCATTTAAAATACAAAGCTGCTTCGCGCTACGCGCCACAAACCTGCCACGCCCAGCGACGATTTTTCGAAAGCAATCTTGTTCTATCTATTTTTGCTTTTAAGATAAAAAGTAAAATTCAGAATGGCAATAAAAATCATATCTTTAACTGTAACATAACAATCGAATAATCCAGGTAAACAAACGCCCAATCCCGCAGACTAAACAACTATTGTCATTTACGAGTATTTTTAAAATCCGGGGCACACTCGATTGTTCGATTTTCGATCGGATTTATCACGCCGTTATCAATATCAAACAATATTTTAGATGGCCCGGTGCCTCGTTGATAGTTATCAGAGGGCACAAACATCTTCACGAGTGCGCCTACATCGGAGACGATTCGTCGGAGGAAATGGACGAGCTCATGGAAGCCGTCAGGGAAGGCACTTACGTAGGCGATGGGCAAGATCTAGAAGGCTTGGGCGTTTCGAACGAGTCGGTAGCGAATGATCCCGATTTAATGAAACGCCACAGGGCCGATGTTAAGTTTCACAGGTAAACAAAGTTCGGTATACATACAGTTATTTTTAATTTTAATGCTACGTGGCCACTTGATTGAGAGATAAAATATAAAATGATGATAAATGGTAAAGTCTGTTCATATATATAAGAAAGTGACTAACTGATACGAATTAAGGAAAGACCCGGGCAAGCTATAACAATGAAATCTGGCCGAACAGGTCCCTACTTTGCTTAGAATTTAATTATTTGGGGATTTGCTAGGAAAGATACTAAACAATATTTATTTATTTATGTATGTATTTATGTTTAAATCTAAAAAAAATACAAATTATTTTTATTACCTACTTAAATTACTTAAAATTATTCACGTAATATATTAGTATCACTATCACTATCATCGCCTGTTCTAATTATTATTTGTTCCATACTATTTGCAATATGGATATACGATTGTTCTGCTTTTTCTATATGTTTAACAGAATTTGCCCAACTTTGTGGAGGGATGTTAAAAACTCCGGTTTCTATAAGTTTGAGGACATTGGAGTTAACACGGGGAAAAACATTGTTACGACGAATGGCAGATTTCAGTTGGTGCCAAACATATTCAATGGGATTAAATATACAGTGGTAAGGTGGAAGCTTTAAAACTGTATGCCCAAGATTTTTTGCATAATTATCACAGACGTATTCCTTTTGTAGGTTCAAGCTTTGTAGAACCTCAATTAATTGCTTTTTGGTATAATTTTCGGGAAAATAAATGTCGTTATTATACATGTAGTTTTGGGTTGTTGCTTTTGTCTCACATGAGGAAAGGGTTTTAGTCAACTATCTACTGTGATAACTTACATTGTCCATTACAATGACGCTATTAGGAGGAATGTTTGGAACTAGTTTGTTTTAAAACCAACTTTCAAATAAATTAGCGGTGGTGTCTTCATGGTAATCCAGAGAAGAATTTTTAATATTTTTCGCAGACAGAGAAAGTCCGTTTGGAATCCAACCATCATTAGAGCCAGCATACAAAATAGTTATTCTTTTACCCTCTTTCTGATGACGCGTTTGTTTTACGCTTATCAGTTGAGTCAACCCAACCCTTTTCCGGGTATCATAAGTGTCGAACCAGGTTTCATCCAAGTAAATAATTGGCCTTTGTTGTTCTCTGTAAATCCTAATTTTTTCTAGATATTCCAGTCGCCATTTCTGAATTCTAAAAGGTTCCATTAAAACTTGCCTTTTGTCATTTTTTTAAATCTAAAACCCATGTGTTGAATACACTTCCATAAGGTAGTACTGCTACATTTAACACCGGTTTCATCTTTTTAAAGCCTCCTAATTAAGATATTTAATGTAGGAACGCGTTCATCTACACTCGACAAAATGTCAGCATCGCTTGTTTTTTTCCTCGCTGAAATGGGATTATTCACAATTTTCCATACAGTTGATGTTGGAATTTTCGTCAATATGGCCGTTTCTTCTAAAGATGCTTGCATGCTGGCACCACGTTCAATGAGAGTCAAATAAACATTGTTTATAACTTCCTTAGTCTCAATAGTCCCGTTTTTCTACATTTGGGCGGGAGCATCTCCTGAGATACACTAGACTCGCACATGTTTTGCATAATTCGCACACGATTCAACGCACGAAATAAGAATGATTACTAATAAACTTAAACTAAGTAGTATACCAAACCAAAGAATATTAAACACAGGTAGGTATAAAATTATTTTCTATCACGGACCACAATTTTACCTGAATTTAAATTCCGAAACTTTAGGTAATAATCTTGTTGCATTTTATGTTAATGACCACCCTTGGATAATCCCATTTAAAAGCAATTGATCACTTTCTTATATCTATGAACAGACCATACCTTGGGACTTTTACTGCGGATTGTAATAAAAATTTGGTTAGTTCCATACGCGGCGATGTTCTATCGATCTAAAAATGTTTAATGTTGCGACGTTGCCGCTTTTATTGCCTTTTCCGGTCCGCTAATACTTTATAATTGTTTTTCAATAATGCGTTCTTGTAATTGTCTTTAGTGAAATAAATTTATTGTTTTCTTTATTTTTTCAACCAAAACATAGTTTCAATCAAATTTGTGTTACTACGACACTGGAGCCAGTAGAAAGTTAAAATTTTGAACGTAGCTTAGGAAGGTACTGTACAGTAGTTCTTTGGAATTAGTTACGAATCATACAGGGTTGTTTATAACAAATGATTTACCTGCGAGATAAAAACATATTGAACAATGCACGTTTTTAAGTAGAACATCCTGTATATTATCACCTATTCTAAGAGCAAGTTAAATCCCCTTCCGAATTATGCATTATACAGTGTGTCCCACTTAAGAACTGTACACCTTTGTAAAATCTTTGTTTATGGTTTAATTTTCTTTTTTTTTTGTTTGATAGGTCTCTGAAAAATGCACTAAAACCATGTTTTGCTTATTGCTTCAATTTAAAGTCACAGCCAACTGAGACTATTTAACAAAAGAGAGACAAGAGAGAAGTGCTATTAGGGATTTTTTTTTAAGGCAACGAATACTTATTCAGGAGTACTTAGAATCCAACTATACCAGTTTTTATAATGTTTCAATACAGGGTTTTGAAATATAATTTGTGCTTACATTGCTGTAAAATCTTTGCCTGGACAGAAATACACAGTTTTTATTTTTATTTTCAACAATTTCTTTAAAAGAAGAAATGATCTTCATGTTCATGAATGTTACATAAGAAATACTAAGAGAGTATAGGTTTTTTCATGCAAGACGGACACCCACCCACCAAAACATTTTTTTTCACGAATCACGTGATCTTGAACGTGTACGGGATACGTACTCGACGCGCGTTTCGCCAACCAAGTTGGCATCTTTAGGAGAAGATTAAAACTAAACTTAATAACAAATGCTCTCTATATATATATACACATCGGGAGAGGGGATTACGCACTGTTCACGCAACCAATCAGCGCGTATAATGGGCTAAATGGGCTTGGACCTCTGTCCTTGTTCAGTGCCTTATTCCCTCTCTTAACAATTTCTAAGCTTTCGTAGGCACCTAATTTTCTACTATTATTTACCTGTTTAACTAATTTTAAATTACTTATGATTATTGTTAAATATATGTTCGGCTACACTTGATTGAAGAGCTAATCACTCTAACAAAGCTTTGCATGAGTCAAAATATATATATATATATATATATATATATATATATATATATATATATATATATATATATATATGATGACACTATATTCCGGGATATCATCCGTTCGCTCGTTGAACTCCGACTGGAATCCTGCATCCGACTGGAATCCTGCAAATCATCATATATATATATATATATATATATATATATATATATATATATATATATATATATATATATATATATATATATATATATATATATATATATATATATATATATGATGACACTATATTCCGGGATATCATCCGTTCGCTCGTTGAACTCCGACTGGAATGCTGCATCCGACTGGAATCCTGCAAATCTTGCATCCGACTGGAATCCTGCAGACGTTTCGCCAAAATCTCACTTGGCATCTTCAATGCTCGCGCTCCGAAAACACTTCGAACACTGGGAGGTTATCGGCGGTGCGTGCGGTATTTATACTCTGCGCCGGAGATGGTAACGGTGCTGCTTGTGCGTGGGGGGAGGTGGCTCCGCCCCCTGAATTGTCGCGTTGTTAATTTCGCCCGATCGTAGTTGCGATGTCCCCGTTGGCTGCTGCGTATCGCTCTGCTGTTTGATCATCGTTCTCCACGTGTTGGATAAATGCAAAGCGTCGTCTCTCGTATTGAGGTGTCCCGACTTTTCTATTTCAATGGCCTCTCGTATAATCCTAGTCCTAAAATCAGGAATATTAGCTATTTGTTTGCAAGTGCCGAAATCAATTTTATGGCCTGTCTGATGTTGGTGCTGAAACAAAGCAGATGTTGTTTGTTTGTTTCTTATGGCTAAACGATGTTCCTCGAGCCTGGCTGAAATCCTTCTGTTGGTCTGTCCCACATACGTCAGGCTGCACGATCCGCATGCTACACTGTATACTCCTTGGTTTTCCAGAGTAATTTTTTGTTTTGGGTTTCTTAGTATTGCTCCGATGGTATGGTCAGGTTTATATGCCGTTGATATGTCGTGTTTCCGTAATATTCGGCCGATTTTGTCAGTAACCCCCTTGATGTATGGCAGGACAGCGATCGATCTTCGTTGGGTCTCGTCCTGCATTCTCTGTTGCGGCTGTTGTTGTTTACTGATTGCCTTGCTGATGGTATGCCTTTGGTATCCGTTTTGTCGAAGACAGGTACTAATTTTCTTCAGTTCTTTATCTCTGTTCCTCTCGTTTGTGAGCCTGAAGGACCGAGCAATTAATGTATTTGCCACTGCCTGTATCTGTGATGGGTGGTGATGAGATTTAGCGTTCAGATATCTATTAGTGTGTGTTGGTTTTCTATAGACAGTGTGTTCCAAGTGTCCATCTTCGGTCCTTGTGATGTGCACATCTAAAAAGTGCAGACTGTTATCCTCTTCAAGTTCTATTGTAAATTGAATCCTTGCCAAAAGGCCATACAACAAATACGTCATCAACGTATCTTGTCCATAGTTTTGGCTTCAGATTTGCCTTCTCTATTGCTTTCTTTTCGAAGTAAATCATGAAGAGGTTGGCAATCACAGGTGAGAGAGATGATCCCATTGCTGCTCCATCTATTTGTCGGTAAATTTTCCCGTTGTGCATAAAGTAAGCGTTTTTCAGGCAATGTCTTGACAGATCCATTATGTATGGCGGAAGATCTTCGTTTTCTTCTATAAGCAAGAGTGCCTCTTCTACTGGAATACTCGGGTAGAGGGATTTGACATCGAAACTTGCCATAATGTCGTCCTTGTCCATCCTGAGAGAACCTAAAATCTGAGTGAAATGTTCTGAGTTTTTAACATAGGAATCTGCCTTTTCCACTATAGGCTGAAGTGCACTGGCCAGATGTTTTTCCAGCTTGCATAATGGTGAGTTAAAGGCGCTTACGATTGGACGCAGGGGAACCTCGTCTTTATGGATCTTTGGGAGCCCGTAGAATTTTGGGCAACGACTCGATTTTTCCCTCGGAATAAGTTTCTTCTTTGTATCCTCGTTTATTGATGAATCGAGAATTTTGGACTTAGTTGTTTTTTCCAAATATGTCGTGGGATCTCTGGTGACTAGTTTGTATATTGGGTCGTTCAAAATATCCTCCAATTTTGCATTATAATCCGACGTATTCATGACGACAGTGGCATTTCCTTTGTCTGCTGGCATTATTAGAATGTTTACGTTTTTGTTTAGATTCCTTAAGGCTTGCATTTCTTCTCTGCTTAAGTTTGGTTGCGGTGGTTTTGACTGTCTTAAGGGTTTTTCACTTAAAACTCCGCACGCCAATAACTCCAAAACGAAAAGAAATATTTAATTTATGTAAAAAGTAGTCAAAGTGTGGGGTCAAGTAGATATTTCCTAAAGTTTAAAAAATTCGACGCCTGCAAAGAGCTGGGCGTCGCGACGCGTCGAAAAATTATTCGATTGCAGAGACTTTGGAAATACGCGCATACAAAAGTACATATTATTTAAAAACTTTTTTGTTATTTACTCAAACTTATTTACTTTACCCGTTTCTAAGTTATACCGATTTAAAGTAAACATTTCTTGATTAATAAAAAATGCGATTAACGCTTATTTTTACAAGTATGCCATGAATGTTAGTTATTATGGCAACCATTGTTGTCGCAGTTGTTTTAAGTGCAATTACAAACAATAGATTTCAACTATTTTAGTATGGATTTTATTTATTATTTTTTATCGATTTAGTTCTGATAACATGATAAATAAATGAAAAAACAGTAAAATACCTACAAGATAATAACCAAAATTATTATTGCAATTAACTACATAATAAGACATTTCAAAAATTTTGTTCAAAATTATGTCCATCTGCTCGAACACAACTATCAAAAACTTTTAACAGATGAGCTTGGGTCACTTGTAGTAGAGTCCTTCTTGTGATAGCGGCACACGCTGCACTAATTTTGTTAATGAGATCAGCCATATCTTCGATAGGTTCTTCATAGATAACGTTTTTTAGGTAGCCCCAAAGAAAATAATCTGGTGGTGTAATGTCCGGGGACCTCGCCGGCCACCTTACCGGTCCATTAGTACCAAACCATCTATTGGGATATTCTCGGTTCAAATACCTCGTTAGTATTTGGGCATTATGTCAAAATAAGCGTTAATCACATTTTTTATTAATCAAGAAATGTTTACTTTAAATCGGTATAACTTAGAAACGGGTAAAGTAAATAAGTGTGAGTAAATATCAAAAAAGTTTTTAAATAATAAGTACTTTTGTATGCGCGTATTTCCAAAGTCTCTGCAATCGAATAATTTTTCGACGCGTCGTGACGCCCAGCTCTTTGCAGGCGTCGAATTTTTTAAACTTTAGGAAATATCTACTTGACCCCACACTTTGACTACTTTTTACATAAATGAAATATTTCTTTTCGTTTTGGAGTTATTGGCGTGCGGAGTTTTAAGTGAAAAACCCTATATATATATATATATATATATATATATATATATATATATATATATATATATATATATATATATATATATATATATATATATATATATGACATGATACAGAATTAAATCCCCAACCCCCTAAAAGTGCTAAATACACGAAGCATTAAATATTAACTACTTCCATGGGTCCATAATAAAAATTCCCAATTTTAGTAGACATTTTCCCCAAGACGTGTTTTTCCGCAAAAAAATACAAAAGTTTATTTTTCTCGAAAACTACTCAAAATTTCGTAAGCTATATAACAAAAAATAGTCAAAAACCAGCGTATAATGAGAATTTTTTAAAATATTCATGAGTACTATAAATAAAATATATACTTAGGGTCAACGCTTTTTGTATTTAACTTTTTTTCTTCAGTATCGTACTTATTGGGATAAGCTGTAGGAGCATCTTAAATGCACCACCTTTTTCTCGTAACGGAACAAACAATCTTTGCGGTTTTATAAGAATGTCAAAAAAATAAAAATTGTTATAGATCATTTCTCATTAATGATGTTTATTCTTTTGCCTTTTCATCAGTTCGCTTACTAAAGAAAGAAAAATTCGAAAACCTTTCCTTTTTCGTTTAGTCCCTTACACGAACTGAACAAGGAAAATTACACGCTACCCAACAACGTCGACACATCGGACTTAACCGACTCGAAACTTATGAAAACCATATTGGAAGCGATACGCTTAAAACAGAAAAAGAAAAAGGGCACCAAAGCCGAAGAGGTCCATCCCCACTTCAAAAGAAACTCGACGATAGCCGAAATGGAAACGGAAAATATCAACATTCAGGCGCCGACCGATCCTGTGGGCGTTCCTGCGACCTCGCAGGAAATATTCAAAGATATTTTCGAAAGATTGCGAAATCTCGGCGAGAAAGGCGCGCAAATTTTGGAAAAACTGAATCAGCAATTCGTCGGAGTGAATAAAACTCACGAGCATTCGTTCGGCACCAGGGGGCGCCATTATCACAAACCCGTCGTCCAATACAACGAGAACATCGACGACGAGAAGCGTCGCCGTCGCAGGGCCGTCGAAACGGCCTACCACGACCTCAACGAAGACGACGGAGTCAACGATCGAGGTATTGAGGAGGTGAGACATTCGTTCGCCTTTATTCACTTAATCGAAAACTTCATCTTGCCAAGAATTCGCGTATTAGTCGCGTTTCTCGATCTCTAATCCCCTAATGCACATTTTTTTAATCAATTTATGATATGATAATGATGATACTTTTGTTATTTGGCCTCATGGTCAAGAATCCCTAGTAGATTTTCTTAGACAATACACCCTAAAATACGTTTTACCACTGAATTAGAAACTAACAATAACCTCCCATTCTTAGATATTCTTACCTAACATTAGGTCATTTGACGAAAGTCGATTTGATCACTAATAGTTTAATTTATCCAGGTATAACAAAAACTGGTTAGTCGGGAAGAGCTATGGGTTCTCCACTATCACCAGTCATCCCGAATATATTTATGAACGCCTTTGAGAAGAAAGCTCTCGACACTTTCCATCTAAAACCAAAATTATGCAAAGGCTACGTCCATAATACTTTTATTTGGCCTCATGGTCAAGAATTTCTGGTAACATTGGGTCATTGTGTTTACAGAAAACCTACGCACACAGACCGATAACTTAATGCATGGTCACATTATCATCCGGCCCAAAAATCGTCGTTTATCAACTTTCCTCTTTACAGAGCCGTAAAACTATCTCAACCCGATTCACTGAAAACAGAATTAAAACACCTTACCTTTGCTCTTCTCTCTAATAATTTCCACATTAAAGATATTAACCGTTCCAACACAAAATACACTTCACCTCCAATAGCAATTAGACCGAAAGCAATCCTACACTTGCCACTGTCAAAAGTTCGAAAGAAATATAACGTCAAAACCAGATGTACCACTTGTTCAAAACTCTCTCAAAGTCTTCGATCCTCGAAAGACAAAATTCCATTTGAGATGCCAGGAGTTTACAGCATTCCATGCATATGCGGCAACATTGGAGGGACCACATAAAAAATATGAATTAGGCTCAAACAACGTGAAAGAGCCTTAAGACTAAGGCAAATCAGCAGTTACCGAACAGAATCACAAAACCGAAAATAAAATTTTATTCGATAAAACTAAAATTCTTGCTTGAAATCAATTCTTCCACCAACTAAAAATCTATACGTCTCACCAATATGGGAATCAGTCATCCGAGACGGTGTTTATGCTCCTCTCCCCTCAAACAATATATAAGCAGGTACAGAATAAAAGGCGAACCAGTTTCAGTCAATCTCTGACGAAGCCAACAGGATGATTAGCGATTTCGACTCAGCCAAAACGCAGGAGGAATCCGGAAGATTTTTAAAAAGTATTACAATAGTCAGTAGAAATTTCTTTGAAAAAAAAATCTTTGTTATTGTCTACAAAATTTGGCGATAATTAGTTTAGCACGTCCAAATATAATTATTACTTCGTCTAATAAGCGATAAAAGAAAAAAATATCATATATTCATCATCATCATCATCGTGTAGATGTTCGCTTATCTGTCCATAACAGACACACCCTGTAAAATTTTGATTAAGCGATATTTTTGCTTATTGCGACGAATCTCATGCATCTTCCGGATGAAGAATTTTGTCAATAGGAGGATAATTTTCTTAAAGAATACTTTGCCACATCCGATCCTGCTCAGTTTTAATAGGTTCCATTCCGAGGAGGAAACTTTAAATTTCTGCGGAACTTCAACTAGATACCTCTAAATTTCGGACACTTACGTTGCTTCGTAGAGACTCTCCGAAGAAAATCCAAAAATTGTAGGCAACATGGCCGCCGGGAGTCGGATCGGCTCGATATTTTGCGGGCAGCTGCGGACTGCCTAGCACTAGAACGGAGGAAAATTTGAAGCACGTGGTTCTAACCGTTCGAAAATTATCCGCCCTCAAAAACTCCCCCAAAAGTCCTCTACGAAAAACAGAGAACAGATAAAGAAGGTTTAGTCTCGATTCTCGAGGCATATTATTATCTTGACGGGTTTCATCTAAGACTGTTTATTAAAATTCGATTGTTTATCTGTGGGCCTTATTATTGAAGGGATTTACCCCGCGTCCCGACGGCATCGCCGAACACAGGGGCGTCATTAACGAGACCACGGATAATGACATGAGCAACAGCGAGTTTTGGTCGTCGTTTTCGAGTTCGGAAGAAGCGCTGTTGAATTGCGCGGGTTTGATTCTAAATTTGCCCCTCACGCCCCACCACAACTGTCGCCGCGAATTGAGCGAGACCCAAGCCGAGGAGACTTATCTGGCCAACTCCATCACCTACAGGTAAGGCCCGTTTGCCGGGTTTTCCTCGACTTTTTGCGCGAGTTAACTTATTCGATACGACAACACCGTTTTTAAATATAATACGAACTTAACAGTAATGAACCTTAAAATTAACATAATATTATCCTACTGACTGCGCCAGTTAACTTATTCGATAAGACATTTTTAAAAAGTAATTTTTATTAAATGATGAACATAGTTGACATTAACTACAATGAGTAGACAAAAATATTAAAAGCGTAGCAGCGTCAGCTTTTCTGGCGTCAGCATTCCTAGACTTAGATGATGACATAACTCTTCCAGCCTTACGAATACCGTTAGGCTAGCACCGGTTGCTAGCCTTCTTTCTTCTTAACATTGGGCGGCATTTTCTGTAGATCAGGTAGCCACCGGAAATCACCAGCAAAATGTAGTTCATAATTGTCCAAATCGATGATTTCTTCAAGCGGAGTAGTTCGCTTGCTTATAATTGCACGATCCCTTAATTCTTGAATATCTTCGAGTTGAAGTTTTTCTAAGTGAATACCTAGATTTAATGTAGGTATTAAATCGTTATTTTTTATTAAAATCGGGATATAGTATTGGCTTAAACGTGGCTTTTGGCTCCGTCGATTGCGGATGACACATCATTGATTGAATCCGAGAAAGATCTAACGAATTTAAATAAAAATGCTGTCACTACACTCTCCATGATTGAACAGTGGTTCTCTGCAAATAAAATTAAATTAAGTTTCGATAAAACAAAATAATTTTCAATACCAATAGAAGAAGTAAAAAATCTGAACCGGTCAAACTCCTTGGTGTTTACCTAGATGCGTTTTTAACCTGGTCGCCTCATATAGACTACCTGTGCGGTAAATTGTCTTCTCAGGTTTTTGTTCTGAGACAACTGTGAGGTGCCATCTCGCAAAGCACTCTCCGTATAATTTATTTTGCACTGTTCCACAGTGTCTGGTAGAGTGGTAGTTTAATAGATTTAATTTTACTAACTAAAGAAGAAAATTATCCCTTTTCGATAAAAAATGTGCCCCAAATTTCAGATCATTTCACTTTAAATACTGAAATAATTATGGACAATGAAAAATATGATGGATTGATAAAGATTTACTGGCTGATTTCTAACATTAATCAAAAAGTATTGTATTTCAATATTTTATTAAAAAAATATCTTTGAAGTTTTGGCTCCCTTGAGAACTATATAAATAAAAATGCAAAAACCAGCATGGTTAGCAGATACTGTGGAAGTTCTGATTTAGCTGAGAGATAAAGCTTTTAAAAAGTACAAAACTACAAAAACTAATTGTCATTGGGATAGCTATAGACAACTGCGAAACCAAACTAACATAGCAATTAAAGATGAATATAAAATATATCTAGAATGTGTCTCTAATGAAAGTAATAGTAAAGTTCTTTGGAAAAAAAATAAGCAAGTTTGTAGTATTCAATCATTCGCATCTAGTTTAGATTTCATAAATATAGAAATGTTGGTAATGTGCTGCCCCAGAATTCTATTCTTACTAATATACGAGCCCTAACAACTAATTGTTCGGACGATGTAAGAAATAATCAGAAGACATATTTATACTTATTTTAAATTGATTTTTCTTGCCTTTTCGATTGAAAAATGAAATCGCGCACTTATTTTTATACCAAAAAGTGCTATCGTAATGAATTATTTTTTTATTTCACATAAATTACATATCAAAATATCAAAAACATACCGAATTTGCTGACAAATAAATATTCGGACGCACTTAAATCTTTTACTTTAAAAGTAACATCACCTTTCGCGGCAATAACAGCTTTTATTCGTTTTGGCGTGGAATCTACCAAAGTCTTGTAATATTCGGGGGTGAAAGTGTTTTAATGTTGGAACTGTACGCTGAGGATTGTTACGCAAAGTCTTTTTCATCCGATGCCATAAAGTTTCAATAATATTCAAGTCGGGGCTACTTGATGGCCACGATAAAACTTTCATAGTATGGTCCCCAAACCACTATTTTGTTGTTTCGTAGTATTCATTTCATTTCCAAAAGTCCGTTCTATTGTGGAATCAAACTTCTTGATAAAATTTGTTGGTATTCACAGTACCATCAATGAATTGTGGAAGTTTTACCGTGCGCTTTAGATAATGGTTGTGAAAGGCTTCTGATTTTGTACGAATCACCCTTTTTCGAAAATCGCCTACACACACATCAAATTTTGATTCGTCGCTGAAGATAACGTTCCTCCATGTTTCCGTTGTCCAGGATATTTTAGATTTTGCCCAATCCAAACGTTTTTTCTTCTGAATAGACGTTAATAATGGTTTTTCCTTTGCCTTTAACATCATAGAATATCAATAATTTTTATATTGAAACAGGAAAAATTATAAACTTACCTTATAAAAACCCAAACCAGACTTATGCATCCATTGTCTACAACATTCCCTGGAGACATTTAAGTTTGCCTCGTGATTCCATTGGACTTGAATTTGTTGTAAGACGCTTCGTCTGCTAGTTTTCCAAGTCTTGACCAGAATACGACGATCTCTTTCAGTAATTTTACGGGGTCGGCCTGAACTTTTATCACGAACGTTAACACTAGCTGTCTCTTCATACTTTTTTATAATATCCCCGACTGTTGATTTTGCAATACTCGAGTCACTTGAAATTTTTTGCATTGATTTACCTCTGCAGTACTGAGATATGATAATTTCTCGAACTTTTCTGTTTATTGCAACACCACGCGTCATTTTCTTATCAACTATTATACAAACTTGAAAGATACAACCCGAACTGACATCTCATTTATCTAAGCACACTACATTTTACCATCAATGCATGGGTAGCATTGATTTCTTGGTCAATATACATTCGCGTCCGAATATTTATTTGTCAGCAAATTTGGTATGTTTACGTTATTTTGCTATGTAATTCATGCGACATAAAAAATAATTCCGAACATTTAGTTGTTAGGGCTCGTAGTAAAGTCATGCTTCGTGGAAGGCGTATTTCCAGATGAATGGAAAGTTGCACGTATTACTCCACCTCCCAAAAATATTAAAGTAGATAGTTTTAATGAATTAAGACTCATCAGTATTTTGCCTGTCTAAACTCCTAGAAAAGATTATGAATAACCAAATACGGAAACTAATAACGTTTTGCCTTCAAACCAGTCAGGGTATCGGTCTGGATACAGTTGAGTAACGGCGCTTTTGAGTATTACAGATGACATTATAAAATCAATAGATTCGGGTCAGTCATCCGTTTTAGTGCTTTTGGACTATTCGAAGGCATTCGACACTATATATCACGAACCCCTGTTTGCTATTTTAAATTATGTCGGGTTTTAGGGTGTTGCGATAAAGCTAATAAAAAGTTATCTTGATGATCGAACGCAGTATGTTGAAACAAGTTTAGATCATTCGGCTAGAGAAACCGTTAGTTGCGGTGTGCCGCAAGGTTCCATACTGGTGCCACTGTTATCTGCATGAAAAATGTTACAGGATATTTTTATGCTGATGACACCCAGGTATTATATTCGTTCGACCCCTGTACTTGGTATACGGCTCAAAAATTGGTCAATGCAGATTTTTCAGCACGTCATGGATTGTTAATTAATCCAAGTAAATCATCTGTTATGCTCTTTGGAAAGAATAGGGATCTTTCGGTGTCTCAACTTAACATAAAAGTGAGTGGCGGTTTTAGAGAGCAAGTTGGCTATTTACAAAAGGGATCATTTTTACTTAAAGTTGCTTTATCCGCATCGCCATTTATTGTCTGATGCTCAAAAGATTAAATTAAAGGATTCTCTAGTGTTAAGTTACTTTAACTATTGTGACATTTTATATGGCCCGTCCCTAGATAAAATTGACACATATAGAATTGAGAGAGTACAAAAAATAGTTAAATGAACGTTGTTCAGATTTTCACATAAATATATTTAAATGACAGCTATTTCGGCAACACCGTGCCTTTATCAAATGCGAATATCAAACGGTACCGATGTTTATAAATACAAAACAGGTAGTAATTACTTAATGTGAAGTATTACGTCGAGATTTAACAAGGGGGATCCATTCAAATCCAGTTGGTCATTAAGTAATACATTCGAATCTCTCATCTTATTAATCTCCATAGCTTCTCTTAAGGTTTTAAAACATTAACATACATAGGAGAACCTAGTAATAAAGTTTCAGATGATCTCTCGAAATGTGGTCTCAAAATTGCTTTTAAAACTAGTAACACCCTAGGAAAATTTGTTAAAAACAATAAATCTACATCTAATAGATCCCAGAATTCTGGAGTCTATAGATTAATTTGCGGATCATGTTCTAAGATTTATATTAGACAAACAGGTAGATCTTTCAAAAAACGTATCAACGAACATCGACGATCATTTAAAAACAATAGTTCAGATTCTAATGACGCTATACATTTAAATTTAGACAAACACAATTTTGACGACAATTTCGATATTTTACACACTGTTTCAAAAAGTAGAAAATTAAATTTACTAGAAGCTATGGAGATTAATAAGATGAGAGGTTCGAATGTATTTGAACTGGATTTAAATGCATCCCCCTTGTTAAATCTCAATGTAATACCTCACATGAAGTAATTACTACCTATTTTGTATTTATAAACATCGGTACCGTTTGATATTCGTATTTGATAAAGGCACGGTGTTGCCGAAACAGCTGTCATTTAAATATATTTATGTGAAAATCTGAACAACGTTTGTTCTTATTTAACTATTTTAAATGGAGTTTCATCAAGTAAAAGCCACTTCAGTACGAGTACAAAAAAACTGTTTGCGGTTAATTTATGGCATAAGAAAATATTTTCCAGTCTCACACAAACTACAGGATGCTAAGTGGTTGAATATGCAGAATAGGCGTAGACTACATTCCTTAGTATTTTTTCACAACATTATTTTTAATAACAGTCCTCCTTACTTGACAAACAAAATGACATATCGGACAGATGTTCACAGATTGAACGTTAGATTTAGGGGTCGTATCTCTCCACCACCACACAAGACGTCTGTTTTTTAAAGAAGCTTCTCCTATAACGTTTATAAACTTTACAATACCGTTCCTCTCTCTTTAAAAGCCTTATCACCATGAAACTTCAAAAAAAAAAAAAAAAAAAAGCCAAGAAATGTTCAGCCAACAAGCAAATTGCAAGTTCAGTCCTAAAATTTTCTATTCAATTTTTAACACATTTTCTTTTTTTGTAAATTGTAATTTGTTAAATTGTAAATTAGACATTGCATTGTTATTATTATTATATGGGCTATTATTGTGAGGGAACGCGACGGAAGTCGAGAGAGCCTTTAGATTTCAGAATATTGAAAAAATTGAAAATACTTACGTTATCACGTATGTTTATTCTCCAAACTTTAGTTGAAATCCACTCACATGACTCGAACAGCTGACAATATCATAACATTAAGATCGAAGTTGTGTACTACACAAAAAATAAACTTAATCTAGATTTGTATAATATTTTTTCAAACACTTTTTTCGGTCCAAAAATATGGATGTTAAATGACTTTCCATTAAAAAATTCAAACAATTATCAGCATTGCTTCTATTCTATAAACGAATTTGTTACACATCAGGCACAGTAGATGTAAGTTGTTTTATAAATTAATTATTCTTAGAGTGTACCTATGTATACAAAGTTTTACTTTCTGGTTACATTGGTTTAACTGTTTACGAGGTTAGCGGCAAAATTTCCCGGCCTGACATAGATGCAGCTTATTAACAGCATTTTAAACAAGACGTGTCCGAAAAAGTGTCGCAAATATCGCAAATTGAGTATAGAGCAGTCATAAAGTTTTTGACAAAAGAAGGGTTAGCACCTAAAATTATTAAAGAAAGGCTGTGTACGGCCAAAGTTCTCCTTCTTATTCTGTAATGAAAGAATGGTCAAAACGGTTGCGGATGGGGCAGGAGTCCCTTGAAGATGATAACGGAAGATATTGTTGCGATTGTGGAAGGGGTGGTATTGAGTGATCGACGTTTAAAGGTCAAAGAAATTGCTAAGCTTTCTGATACAAGTCTTCGTCATTTAGGTAGTCCAAGATGGGTTCCTAAAAACCTTTCGGCTATTCAAAAACAACGCCGTGTCGAGTGTGCGCGATCTTTTTTGGAACTCTGTGGGTCGGAACCGAAGCCTGTGATAGAAACTATTGTGACGGGAGATGAAACTATGGTTCTCTATTATGACCCTCTATCTAAAAAAGAATCAATGGAGTGGCGCCTTAAAGGTGAAGGACCTCCAAGAAAATTCTGTCTGCCAGTCAACAAAAAAGGTGATGGCCACGATCTTTTGGTATTGTGAAGGAATTCTTTGGATAGATTTTAAAGAAACTGTCAATGGTAAATATTACGAATCATTATTACACAAATTGCGAGACTGCATACGTGTAAAACGTCGAGGAAAACTGACCAGAGGCGTGCGTCTTTTGCACGATAATGCACCTGTCCGTATTGCTGGGGGTTGCACAAGCTGCCATTTTAGAGTGAGAGGGTTCCAACAGTTAGATCATCCTCCCCATAGTTCAGATATGGCCCCCCAGCGACTATTATTTGTTTGGATATTTGAAAAAGGACTTACGTGGATCGCGGTTTAACGACGAAGTTGAGTTAAAAGAGGCTGTTTTAGCTCATTTTGCAGACAAACCAAAAGAATATTTTTTTAAAAAGATTGAGTTGTTAATAAAGAGATGTTATAAGTGTATTGAAGTTAAGGGGGATTATATTGAAAAATAAGAAAAAAATGTTACTCTACTTTGTTTCTTTCAAATTCAGGGCGGCAAATTTTGGCGCTGCTCTCGTATATGTAAAATGTATGTACTCTTCCTGACTTCAAAAATACGTTTTTGTATTTATAAGCGGTCAATAATCGATTATTTATTTATTTATTTATTATTCTGTAAAAGTAATTTCGTCCATATCACTCCACCTTTGTATTTTTCCTCTCTCACGGTTTGTTCGTTCGTTTAGGGTACCCGTCAACGGTTACTACTTCTTCGTCTTCAATAGCGAGAACGAAGTGCAACCGAATTACATACGAGTTCAGTTCCACTTGAACAAGGCGGTGTACGACGTTTCGAATCCGATCGCCTCGTGCAGGAACAGTTCGGACGTGTGCGAGGTGGACTTGAACTTTTTCTCGTCGGAAAAACTGGTGCTGGAGTTGCCGGTCAAAGAGAACGAGACCCTGTGGAACGAAGAGTACATCGTGGAGTCCGAGTGCGAACCCAGAACGGCGCTCTACGCGATTTGCGTCGTTACCGTTCCCGTCCTCGTCGTTCTGTTCGCGTTTTCGTGATGTCCAGAGTGATTTTTATCGCCAAAAAATAAATACCTAATCCTTAAATTTTGTTTATTGAAATCGCAAATTTTATATTAACTTTTTCCGAATCGTAAATATTCATGACTTACGGCTGGAAATTTTATCGGAGAACAAATACTTTCGAAATTTTCTGATATTAAAAAATTAATAAATCGTACATTTAAAATATCGAGTTAGTATCAAATTTTCGAGTTAACAGATCAAATTTTACCTTAAACGTTTTTCGAAATTTTAAAATTTCGAGTTGCACATAATTTTAAAATTTCAAAATTTCGAGATAAAGCACTAACCGTTGCTTTAAACGATTTCTGAAATTTAAACATGTCGAACTGTAGACCAAATAAAATTTAAATTCCCGCTATAAAAACAGTAAAATCTTCCTTAAAAGTTTTCTGAAAATTTACAATTTCGAGTTGAAATTTCAAAATTTCAAAAAACAGAGGAAATGCTGCCTTAAAAGTTTTATGACACTTTAAAATTTCGCGTTAAAAGAAATTTTATCCGAAAACAAGGAATTTCGGAATTTCCAGATGAAAGATGAAATTTTGGCTTAAACGTTTTTTGAAATTTTAAAATTTCGAATTGGTGAACAAGAAACTTCAAAATTTCGAGTTAAAAGACGATATTTTATCCTTTAGTTTTTTTTAATTTCGAATTGTAGAAGAAGAAATTTCAAAATTTCCAGACTTAAGATCAAATTTTGCCCTAAATGTTTTTTAAATTTTGCATGCGGACGCGAAAATTTGGACTAAACATGTGACGCCATTTCCAGATGAAAGACGAAATTTTGCCTAAATGTCTTTAAAAATTTTAATTTGTAGAAGAAAAAAATTGTAAACTTCGAAGTAAAAAAGCAAATTTTTCCTTAAATGCCTTTTTAAAATTTTAAAATTGCAACTTATGTCTCGAAATTTTACCCGAGACCAAGAAATTTCGGCATTTCGAGATGAAAGACGAAATTTTGCCTTAAATGTCTTTAAAAATTTTAAGTTGTAGAAGAAAAAAATTGTAAATTTCGAGGTAAAAAAGCAAATTTTTCCTTAAATGCCTTTTTAAAATTTTAAAATTGCAACTTATGTCTCGAAATCTTACCCGAGACCAAGAAATTTCGGCATTTCGAGATGAAAGACGAAATTTTGCCGTAAATGGTTTTCGAAATTTTAAAGTTTCGAGTTGGTAAAAAAGAAATTTTAAAATTTCGGTTATAAGAAGAAATTTTGCCCCTTAAAGTTTTTTCGAAATTTAAAAATTTCGAGATATAGACTAAATGTTGTTTTAAACGATTTTTGAAATTTTAAAATGTTGCATTCTGATTCGAAAATTTGGAATAAAATTTCGACTTGCGACTTGACAGAACAAGAGATTTTGCCATTTCGAGATAAAAGAATATAACTTTCGCCTCGTACTTCTTCTGAATCCTAAAATTTCGAGTTGTAGAACAAAGAATTTTCAAATTTCGAGATATAATGGTAAAATCTTCCTTAAGCGTTTTCTAATAATAAATAATAATAATAATAATAATAATAATTTATTTAGTTAATGATAAAATAATAACGGTGCTAATAAAAAATCACAGAATACAACCAGTTTTAATTTTTTAAACGCTTTACATTTTTATATAAGAAAAATATAGTGCAATAAAATTGACATATAATTATTTATTTATTAGGTGTCGTTTTGATTTTTCCACGCGCTTGGAGGGAAAATGAAATGAAAAATGAATATAGCATATTATGCTAAATTAAATTTAATACAAAAAAATATTAAACAAATATGTACTTACCGAGTGGTATCGAAAAATAATTCGACATATTTTATGTATATAATCCTATACTTAAGATACTGTCTCCGTGAATCTGCTTGAGTTACAGGGTGATCAAAAACTAACCATACAAATTTGAATGAAAAAATGTTGAGTGATTTTTTGAAACGAAAATAAGCTATTTTTATAGTGCAGCTAGTTTCATAAAAAAAATGATACGAAAAATTCCACTTTATATTGGCTATCATATCACATTTTGATAAAACAAAGTTTGTTTTCACCTCCTATTTATGCAAACATTTTGAATAATAAAAATTAATACGCATATTTTTAAGAGTTACCATAAAAGGAATTTATTAATTCTATTTTTATTACTAAAAACTCTTGCTTTAATCGGCATTTGCTGTTCTTTTGAACTCGAAATTAGTGTAAGCAATAAGAGACAACCTTGGTAAATTTGTGAAGATATCTCGCAGAAAATGTTTATTAGGCTTATATAGAATTAGAGTATTTAAATTTTTTTTCAATTTAATATTGTTTTTCGTTGGTTAGTTTTGTCATTAAAAAACGCTTAAACTAAACAGACTCAACTTTTATTTATTTTAAAAATAGAAAGATAATTTTTAAAGTTTTAAAAAACAACTTCAAAATAATTAGGTTTAGGCAAATGCAAGACTCATCTAAATTTGTGTAAGATGGTAGATCCCCATCATCCATCATTCGATATTTTACTATAAATAGGACATAAAGAAACACTTGCAAATAATTTAATATCTCACAGCTTGAAGTCTTGAATACCTTGCCATAGCTCCTCGTTGTTTTGAGGAATAAAATTTCACCATTATCTCCTATATGACTAAAGTGACCATTTATTCTTTAACTGAAAACGGGACAAAAAAATTTAAGCTTCAGGTTAAACGTCTGGCGGGAAATTCAAATTTTAAACAGTATTTTTTTAAATTGTAGCCAAATTAGGCAAAATTTAGATAGGGTTTTCGATTTCGCGGCAATAAAAAATATTTATTTACGTTACTCTAAATCGATATTTAAAAACCGTTTGAAATTTAAATTTCCCGCCAGACATTTACATTTATCCTTCAGGCTAACAAAGAAAATAAACACAACTTTTTAATTTTCTTTATTTAGAATAAGTGTTACTTAATGGAATTATACACTATAATTATTTTCATATTAATTAAGTAATTAAAAAAATAATAAGTAGTGAAAAATTAAAATCAATCACCAGCTTTGCTAATCAAGGAACTTTGATCTGTCAATAATTATTAAAATATATGCAACGCATTTTTTTTAAATTGTTTTTATACTTTTCAGAGGAACAAATTTGCTTTAACACGTTGACTGCCGACTACGAGATAACTCGTAGGTAGCGATCTTTTCAAGGACGCCAACTACGCCATTCTTGTGTTGCTACGATTAAACTTGTAATATATCAGTGCTAATATCGATAGATGGCTTCTTGGGAAAGAACAAAAAATCAATGTTGGCTTGCATGAAAAGACAATTTATTTGAAAACGAACATAAAAAATGTAAGTGTAAGAATTAAGTCAAATTACAGAAGTATAATAATATTTACTGTTTGTGGAACTTTTTAAAACAATCTTCCACACACAGAGCTGGCTTTTCACTACATACTGGACAGTAATAACGCGTTTCTCGGCGTTTTTTCCTTGGTTACATATGCGACATGGTTTCGTTGGACGCTGTTTTTTTTCGGTAGGCGGTAAACTCTCTAAATAATGGATACTTTGCAATTTACTCTTTTTCGTAACGTGTTCAATTTCTTGTCCAATCAATGCGAGCACGAATTCCTCTCTGAACTTTATCAGTTTTATGTTAGAAGATGTAACTTTTTTAAAAATTTTGTGAGCATTGTGGATGTAAATCTCTATAATGTGCAATGCAACCTTTTTGGGCCATCTAATAGTCTTTCTTAGAGATGAACAATACGAAAGCATTTGATCTGATCGATCAATGTTCGGTTTTATAGAAATTTTTCCATTGCCACTTCTATCATTTCAACAACATGCATGTTTGAAATGCAAAGGACATCTCGCTTGTCTTTCCATTTGCAAACAGTAACAGGACCATTTCGCTGCCAATTACACTCCCCTTTTTTCAATTTACGATTTACCAAATCTCTAGGGTTCCCTTTTCTGTTATTTCGTAGGGTTCCACACACATACGTTTTTCGTGTATTTAGCAGTTTTGTAAGTGTAACAGAATTATAAAAATTATCCATGAAAACCGCGTATCCTTTATCGAGATAGTCCTCAAGTAAATGTAAAACAACATCAGTAGTGTGGCCTACATTATTGTCAGTTTTGTCAGATTTTCCACTATAAATCTTTATTTTCATAACGAGATGTATTGGCGGAAAATCAATCTTCCCCGCCATAGCATCATAGACTCATCAATACAAATATTTTTATCTGGTACATAGTTGAAATGATTTAGAATTGGTCTTACCTTGTATAATCTGTCGGTAGATGGTATTGAGTTATCAACCAAATGAAAATAACGAAGTAACAACTGGAATCGATTTCGATTCATACGTGAGCGCCAAAAGAGTACATTATATAGCTCGTTTGTGCTCCAGTAATGTTCAATTGATGGAAAAGAGCAAGGTCCCATTTGCAGCAGAAGTCCAATAAAAACTTTCATCTCAGCAACACTAATGTTTTGCCAATTTGATAACCTGTTGGTTTTCTTTATTGTTGTGCGTTTTTCAATTTCTTGCGCAGCATATAAATTACTTTGTTCCACCAGTAATGCAAGAAAATCGTCCGAAAAAAATAAGTCCACTAGCGTTTGTACTGTAAAATTTGTCGCAGCCAATTTCACACCAACCTTTTCTTTGAAAATAAATAATTCAGGACTCTGTTGAGTTTCTGTCCACAAATTATCATTCGCATTTGATGTTGTTGCTTCAGAATCATCGGCGTTATCTTCAGGTTCCGGATCATCTTCAGATTTTGAGACTTCATCTTCACTATCACTTGAATTCTCAATTTCACTTTGAGTCAATGGTCTTTTCCTATCCATATTGGGTTCTTAGTAAGAACACACAAGAAAGACGTAAGTAATGCGCTCAACAATGTCTGAGATATAACTGACGCGGACGATGATGACGCAATGAATGATTCAGCATTAGCGAAGCGAAGTTAGTGCAGGTGTGCCTACGAATAAACTCGTAATTGGCTTCCGAGAAGAGATTACTGTTTCCGACGCCAACTACGAGATAATTCGTACAACATTTTTTTTTTAGGAAAATACGTTTTTACTCTTTTATTTTATAACTATGCTCTAGATTTAGACTTTTTAATAATATAATGTAATAAAATCAAAATTTCGTTTTTGGCCAGAAATCTGAAAATTACTGTGGCAGTCAACGTGTTAATAAAGTTTGCGATGACTTTAAATAAGAATAAAATTCTTGGCACGTTTTTTTTACATTAACCTTAGTTATCAACATCGCTTTCAACACTGGAACCTGTAAATGATTTTTTTCGGACGTCCACAGTTTGTTCACGAGAGAAAAGACTCTTTCTACTGGAGCATTTGTTAGAACGAAAGTGTTTGAATACTTCCAC